GATGATCTTAGGCAAATTTTATAAGCTTTCTGGACCTCATTTATTCAGTTTTATCAGGAATCTAATTTGCTGTCACCCAGTAACTCAGTTGGTTAGAACATCATCCTGATATGCCAAGGTGTTACGAGTTTGATCCCCAATCAGGGCACACACACGAGTCAACCAGTGAATGCATAAATAAGTAGAATAACACATCGAGGTTTCTCTCTCAATCTCTCTCCCTCTGCCTCCCTCCCTCCCTTCTTCTCTCTCTCCCCCCTCCCCCTTCTTTCCTTCCTCTCTCCCTCTAAAAAAACAAAAAATAAGAATAGATAAAATGGGTCTAATTATATAATCAATCTCATTAGGTAATCCAAATAATGTGCTTTACATTTAATCTTCAAAAGTCCGATGAGTTCTGTTTTACCAAAAAATGCAGTAACTTTGACTTGGTTCTGTTGAGGTGTAACTGATAGAAAAACTCTTCAAATATAAAGAATGTTGGAGGGAATTAAGTAATTTATTACCATGTTGATGCCAGCTAATTTTTTAAAAATATAGTATATTGATTTTTTTTTACAGAGAGGAAGGGAGAGGGATAGAGAGTTAGAAACATCGATGAGAGAGAAACATTGATCAGCTGCCTCCTGCACAACCCCTACTGGGGATGTGCCCGCAACCAAGGTACGTGCCCTTGACCGGAATCGAACCTGGGTCCCTTCAGTCCGCAGGCTGACGCTCTATCCACTGAGCCAAACTGGTTAGGGCTAATTTTTAAATTCTATTTTCTAGTGCAAGACAAGGCAGATAGTAATTTTAGTTATTTGGAAAATAGACTAAAAATAGCACATTTGGTTTCTGTCCAATAAATGTTATATAAGCAAACATGATTTTCTTCAGTATGTGTTTTGTGTGTGTGTGTGAATCCTTTTGAATGATGGGCTACAGTGAATTGCAGTGTTCTTTATTTTAAAAACCATCCTACTGCCCTGGCCGGTGTGTCTCGGTTGAGCGTTGTCCCGTGCACCAAAAGGTTGCTGGTTCGATTTCAGGTTAGGGCACATACCCCGGTTGCAAATTTGATCCCCAGTAGGGAGCGTGCAGGAGGCAGCTGATAGATGTTTCTCTCTCCCTCTTCCTCCCACCCACTTTCTCCTTCTTTCTCTCTCTAAAATCAATAAAAAAAATTTAGCCCTAGCTGGTTTTGCTCAGTGGATAGCACATTGGCTTGCAGACTAGGGTCTCTTGGGTTCGATTCTGGTCAAGGGCACATGCCCGGGTTTCGGGCTTGATCCCCAGTAGGGGGTGTGCAGGAGGTAGCTGATCAATGATTCTCTCTCATCATTGATGTTTCTATCTCTCCCTTTCCCTTCCTCTCTGAAATCAATAAAAATATATTTTAAAAAAATTTAAAGCCTTCTTTGAAAAAATAACTTCTCCATCTTTTCATTTATTCAAGCCCGGCCATGTAGCTCAGCGGTTGAGCATTGACTCATGAACCAAGAAGTCACTAGATCATCCTAGCCGTTCTGGCTCAGTGGATAGAGCCTCGGCCTGCGGACTGAAGGGTCCCAGGTTCATTTCCGGTCAAGGGCACATGCCTGGGTTGTAGGCTCCATCCCCAGCAGGGGGCATGCAGGAGGCAGCCAATCCATGATTCTCTCTCATCATTGAAGTTTCTCTCTCTCCCTCTCCCTTCTTCTCTCTAAAAAATCAATAAAAACATTAAAAAAATGTTTAAGAAAGAAATTGATATGACTATATAAAAATAATAAAATTTGAAGGGAGACAATAAAATGAGGTGTTTATGTTAAATGTCAAATGGTTAATGTCTCTACTATATTAAGACTACATTTTGCAGATAAATGGGCAAAAGGATAGAACTAGTCCTCAAAGGGGGCAATATGGAGGATGTGTATCCTGCTGTATTGAAAACATACACATTTCTGTAATTTTGCACCCAGTACAGTAGCATATCAGACTGCTGATGAGGTTGAGGTGAAGTTGTCAGGCATCATAAATTGCTAGGATGTCAAATAACAGTACAAAGCAAGAACCATGCAGGTTTACATTTCTTGGGCCTAATAATACCACTTCCTAGAATTTGTAGATAAATCCAACCAAAGCTTAAAGGATACATTCAAGAAGATACTAAGTGTAAAAGCACATATAAACCAGCTGGGGCTTTCCTAAACATCTGAGTGTTTGGCACTCATTCCCCCATCTCTCACAGCACCTGTCACATGTTCCCGCATCGTTTTCCATTCATAGATGGAGTATGGAAGTGGTTTTTATTTTTCATGAGAGCAGTTTGCAGGTTAATTGCTTGCTCTTCTCTCCCTGCTCTATAACAAGTCTGTTTGCAAGCCAGAGAAGACTATGTCCTGAATCTTAGGCCTCTGATAGCAGAGCAAAAAAGGAAAGGTTTGGTATTAGTGGAGCAAGAACACAAGGAGACCACACAGTTCTGCTTAGAAATGTTAATTCCAGAACCCACCGTTCTCATTCCATTTCCCCCCATCTCTCCCACCCTCCTCCTCTCACCTCCCCCATCCTATTGGAACATATACTCTGTGATACTTAAACCATTTTCTTTTTTTAAAATATATTTTATTGATTTTTTACAGAGAGGAAGGGAGAGAGATAGTTAGAAACATCGATGAGAGAGAAACATCGATCAGCTGCTTCCTGCACATCTCCTACTGGGGATGTGCCCGCAACCCAGGTACATGCCCTTGACCGGAATCGAACCTGGGACCTTTCAGTCCCAGGCCGACGCTCTATCCACTGAGCCAAACCGGTTTCGGCTCTTAAACCATTTTCTTAATGCTTGCAAGGAGAGGAAAGGGAAGAGTATCAAAGAAAAACCCACTAACTCCACAGTAGACAGAAACAGTGGTGATGCTGCCATTGAGTTTAGGAAACCCATGTTATTTTAGAAAGTTGTCCACTCCCATTTTATGCTGGAGCTAAGTTACTAAGTACAGCATTTATGCTCGAGATCTGGATAATAGGTGCTATGGCACTAATGAATGCCATGGAGAACCAGGGTCTGAGGTTTCAGCATTTTCTAGGCCTACAGCATAACGTATTCAATGTGTACTGTGGGGTGTGTTTAAATAGCTGCTTTATAACTTATATAAACCTTGAAGAGCTTATCACCAATTTCTCCAATGTTAGATTATTGTATGAGATGCTGAACTCTTTTTTTTTTTTTTATTTTTAAATCCTCACCCAAGGATATGTTTCCATTGATTTTTAGAGAGAGTGGAAGACAGAGGTAAAGACAGAGAGAAATATTGATGTGAGAGAAACACAATTGGTTGCCTCCTGCATGCGCCCCAGCCAGGGCCCGGGCCAGGTAGGAGCCTGCAACCAAGGTACATGCCCTTCACCAGAATTGAACTTGGGACCCTTTGGTCCACAGGCCAGTGCTCTATCCACTGAGCAAACTGACTAAGGCCAATGCTGAACCCTTGAAATTCTTTCATAGCAATAATTATTTTAAAAGATACTTTGTATGGATGGAAGTATAGAGGAAGAGTTTTCTAAGCAAGTAACAATTGCTCTTTCATGATCTTGGCATATTGGAACAAATAGAATTTGTTGATTATTGATTTTTTTAGGCTCAGGAAATGCTTTAGATGTGGTGTTTGGGGGAAATCTGAGTCTGAACTTGTGAGTGTGAATAATTATGGAGAAACCTAATTTACGTCACCATTTGATGGTTGCATATTATTTACTTTCTGCTTTGTGGTTTTATAGTTTATGTATTCAGTAAGAGGAGAAGTGGCGAACTCAGATATCAGGGCTGAAAATGGGAGTGGTACTTGAAGTCCTTGTTAGGGTCGCCAAAGGAAGTATGCACAAGGCCGAGAGGTAAAGATTTATTAGGTCATGTTTTGAGACCAAATGGGCTGAGCCCCCATGACACCAGCACCCAGGGATGGGGAGTCAGAGGTTTTAAAGGACTGTGGGCAGGCTTTTTCGGGGAACTCTGGATGGGCCCAAATCCTGGGAAAGTCCAGAGGGGAAAGATCATGGTTTTAGCAAGTGGAATGTGGTCTAAGCAAAAGGGAATGTTGGTTGTGAAGTGGTCTAAAGGTCAGTTCCCAGGGGAAGCGGGTATCTATTCAATTATTTGATCAGACCTAACAATCCCATGATGAGATCTTTGTGTGGTCAGATTTTGTATTAAATCTTGATACTTACATGTCAGGTGCCTACACTTCTTTTTCTCTTTTTCACTGGTCTTTTGAAAATTGTTCTGAGGGATTTTTTTCCTGTATTTAACACCCCCCCCCAAAAAAATATTTTTAATCTATGAACATGACACCCAGGAATTGTTTAAATTTCATTTATTAAATTAATAAATGAACAAAGTTGGCACCTAATGGATGAATCTTGGCCATAGCTATTCAAACTTGGCAGAACTTGATAATTAGCAAAAATTTGTCTTGGATTTTTGTTTGTTTCATTTTTTGTTAATCTTTACCAGGGGATATTTTTTCTGTTGATTTTTAGAGAGGAAGGGAGGAAGGAGGGGACAGAGAGAAAAACATGGATGTGGGGGAGAGACATTGACTGGTTGCCTTCTGCCTGTGGCCCCAATTGGGGCCCAGGATCAAACATGCAGCCCAGGTATGTGCCCTTGACTGAGAATCAAACCCAAGACCATTCTGTGTGTGATGCTCTAACCACTGAGCCATGTGGGTCAGGGCTTGGGGTTTTTGTTGTTTTTTTACCACAATACAGATGCGGCTGTTTTCTAGCAGTTGAATCTGTAAATCACCTTCTGTGGGACAAGTGTGTCCCAGTGACTGAGAGCCAGCTGTTGGGTGTTTTAACTAAACAGCTGGCTCCTAGTGGGCAGCTCAAGTCCCAGTGAGAAGTATTGACTGCTCCAGGCTAGAGCAGGAATAGAGCATGCAGGGAGGATTTTCGCAAGGCCTTTAGCGACCAGTTTAAATTGGTTGAGATTTTTCTGCCTTGGTTTTTTCCTATAGGTGCCCAAGTTCTACTTCAGATTTTCATGAATGACTCATCTTCCTGCCATATTTTCTTAGACTGCAATGACTTAAGACTCTTGGGGTCAATGCTATGAAGTTCATCCTACTACGTCTATTGGGAGGAGAAAGCAGTAATATTCAAACTCAAGCTTGTTTCCAGCTCATGCTGATTGATTCCTGAGTGATTATTTCTTCCTGAAAATGACATTTTAGTGATTCATTGTTTTCTGTGGGAGGAAGCTTTTGACCTTTTTTTTTTTTCTTTTTTTTTTCCCTTTCCAGAGGGAGTCTGGACAAGTTGTAAGCAAGACATCATTTCTGTAAGAAAATTTTGGATAACAGAAGTTCTGGATAAAAGGTAAAGTGTATTTAAACTTCTTTGATGATGTTGATAATCACCTATAATCTGCAGAAGTAAACGGAGAGGGAAGAAGAGAAGGAGAAAAGCTAGGTGTACTTAGTGTCGGGTAGCATTAGGAATTTTATATGCATTATCCTTTTTAGATGGTTTTTACCGGGATTCTAGACATAATAAAACTATCCTTCAAAATGCTGTTTTAAATGGATTTGCTTATTGGTTGGATGTAATGTCCTCACAATTCACTCTGCACACATATTCTGCACACATATTCACCATAAACATAATACAGGATCCTAGCTAGGGAGTGTGTTCCTAATTTCTTTCTGTCTTACATTGGTTCTTGATCATTGCCAGTTATTTGCAGCCATACCATCTTTTAAATTATTTTTAATACTTTGTCACCAGGTCCTATCATACCTGGACCAAATAGTTTATTTCTTGCCTATATTTCATAAAGTTCTGAAGGCCTCTGTCTGAGAAATACATCTGAAATTATAGCTATAATTTTACCTTTTAAACTAGGGAAGATGAAAGCAAACCAGACTTTTAGTTTGGTGGCACAAACAAGTGCTCATAGTCTGAGGTGAATTGCCCTACCTGAGGGTAGTAGAATGAGATGCTATTTATTTTAACCATCATTCTAGTGTGAGCCTTGAAGTTAGATTTCAAGTATGTAGAAAAGTAGTTCCTAGAGATTTCAGTAAAAATTTAAATTAAGATTTTAATATTTGCTGATTTTTCCTTTGGTATTTTTCCGTTTTTATCAGGGCAAACCAGTTCAATCACCATGAGTTGGAGCTTCCTGACTCGCCTGCTAGAGGAGATCCACAACCATTCCACGTTTGTGGGGAAGATCTGGCTCACGGTCTTGATCGTCTTCCGGATTGTCCTTACAGCTGTAGGAGGAGAGTCCATCTATTACGACGAGCAGAGCAAATTTGTGTGCAACACAGAGCAGCCAGGCTGCGAGAATGTCTGCTATGATGCCTTTGCACCCCTCTCCCATGTGCGCTTCTGGGTATTCCAGATCATCTTGGTGGCAACTCCCTCAGTGATGTACCTGGGCTACGCCATTCATAAGATTGCCAAAATGGAGCATGGCGAAGCGGACAAGAAGGCTGCTCGGAGCAAACCCTATGCCATGCGCTGGAAACAGCATCGGGCTCTGGAAGAAACAGAAGAGGACCATGAAGAGGATCCCATGATGTATCCAGAAGTCGAATTAGAAAGTGAAAAAGAAAATAAAGAGCAAAACCAGCCTAAACCCAAGCATGATGGCCGACGGCGGATCCGGGAGGACGGTCTCATGAAAATCTATGTGCTGCAGTTGCTGGCAAGGACCGTGTTTGAGGTGGGCTTTCTGATAGGGCAGTATTTTCTGTATGGCTTCCAAGTCCACCCATCTTATGTGTGTAGTAGAATTCCTTGCCCTCACAAGATAGACTGCTTTATTTCTAGACCCACTGAAAAGACCATCTTCCTTCTGATAATGTATGGTGTTACAGGCCTTTGCCTGTTGCTTAACATTTGGGAGATGCTTCATTTAGGCTTTGGGACAATTCGAGACTCACTAAACAGTAAAAGGAGAGAACTGGAAGACCCGGGTGTTTATAATTATCCTTTCACTTGGAATACACCATCTGCTCCCCCTGGCTATAACATTGCCGTCAAACCGGATCACATTCAGTACACCGAGCTGTCTAATGCCAAGATCGCCTACAAGCAGAACAAGGCCAACATCGCCCAGGAACAGCAGTACGGCAGCCACGAGGAGCACCTCCCCGCTGACCTGGAGACGCTGCAGCGGGAGATCAGGATGGCTCAGGAGCGCTTGGATCTAGCAATCCAGGCCTACAATCACCAAAACAACCCCCCTGCTCCCCGGGAGCAAAAAGCCAAAGTGGGGTCTAAAGCTGGGTCCAACAAAAGCAGTACGAGTAGCAAATCAGGGAATGGGAAGACCTCCGTCTGGATTTAATCTTGGCTGGGCTTAAAGCTTGTGCTCTTCATAGTTTATGGTAAGCAGCGGCTCACTGAATAATGACTTCCATTGAGTAAACATTTGGCTCTGGTTATCTTCAGGGATGCTGTTGGCTTGTGATCCAAGCTCAGGGGACTCTGAAGGCGGGGCTGGGACAGAGGAAAAGGAAGGGAAACATAGTGTTCCTGGGCACATGTTCCAGCAATAATACAGTTGTAGACTTTACATTTGTGTCTTCCAGATCTGGAAAAGAACAGATATATTTAAATCATTCTTGTTGAACAATTTTTGTATGTACAGTATTATGGAACTTTTTCTTTTTTTTTAGTATGCGAACTTTTTTTTGTACTTGTACATTGGACCACTGTAGTTATACTTTTATATTAAAGGGGGAAAATCCTAAGGTATTGCCTATTAGGCTAGTGTTATTACTTTGTTCAGCATATTCTACCCTGGGTTTAATGTTTTTTAATAGATGCTACACCTAATAAAAGTGCCTCTCGTGATGCAGGGATAATTTCAAATATAGGAGGAGGAGGAGGAGGAGGAATCAGTTTTCAGTCTTAGAAAGAACGTCCACAGTAGAAGGAGGTTGAGATCTTAACTTGAGAAATCTTTGAATCTCATTCATGTGCCCAGAGTTGTATCTGTCTTTGAAAACCTATTTGTATTTTCAAAGGAGATAAATGATTCACTGCAGGATTCCTTTAAATATCAAACATTGCCAGCATATGCTTTGATGTATATATCATTTAAGTTCTTTCAAAAGGCTGGTACTCCCAGTTCTGTAGCAGTGTGGAGACTGTCAAGAGTTGCTGAGATTCCTCTACCACAACGCGAACCCACGCCTGGAAAATGAGCCCTAACAGGATGTTTAGTTGTGGACCTGTTTGATTTGCCTTAAATCTCTATCCAGAAACCTGCCTCTCTCTAGTTTAAGAAACCAGTGGTGGATATTTTCTTTATATGTTAACATTAGAAGCTAAGAATACTCAAAGCTCCTTGTGCTGCATATGGTGGAAGGCCTACATCCAGATTCCTTATTTTTTATAATTTACCATGGAACTTTTATAATTTGCATACTTCTGCCAATGTCGTTTTCTGCCTGGAAGACCAGTCAGACCGGGGATTTTATCTGTAAATAGATCTAAAGAGAATTCCAGTATTTATTCCCTGCAGATATATTTGTAGGCATATTAATTTGTCAGTGACAAACATTAATGTCATGTAACACTCATATTTTGCAGTATTTTATTGCCATTTTCAACCTTGTATTATATTGGAGAGCTTTGCTCTCCTGTCAGGTTCACATCGTTTGTCTTATAGTCGATGAGCTTCTGAGTAAGAGCTTGTTAAAGATTTAAAGGAAGGGACTTTTGCTTCACTATGGAAATTTCATTTTGGATATCTCACTCTTTTCCAACAGGAAGCTGTCATAAGCCACCTCTGACTTTGAAATTCTAAATATTATTTTTTTATGTCAATTTTGAAATGAGAATCCTAAAACAGCATCTTGGTGCTGTTCTTTCTTTTCTTTTTTCTTTGTTGGTCTCCATTGCATTTCTCCCACTCCTACCCCCAAACAAAAGAAACTCAGTAGAAAATTTAAGCTTATTTTCTAGCCATGCATTTACCTTTATTTTGATCACACACACACACACTCACACACACGTATTAATAATTTTGACCTAGAGAAGTTCCTCAGGATCTCTAAACATCTTTAGCACAAAGTAAGTGCAGGTGAGACTGAAGGGGGAATTTCGGAAAATTATACATGTATGTATCCTGGATAATTAATAGACGTGCAATTTCCTTCAAACTAAATGTATAATAAGGAAATTAAAATAACTACAAAAGCAGGCAAGATGGTAAATACCTAAGCCTAGCTAAGATAAGGAACTATCAATGAACTCTCACGTTACTAGAGCTTCATCAGGATGGAAAATGCACACACACTCACATCTGTCTCTTCAGAGCCTGAAGAACAGCATGGTGTTGCCAGCAGAAAGGTTTGAAAGTGAGAGGGAGGGAGTAGGAGGAAATGCCAGGCCGACATTTGGCGCCAGAAGTATCCATTGTTCCTACAATTGGTGCCCCTGGCGTTTCTCTTGGCTTGTTCTGGTGAGAATGTTACCTTTTGTGTCTGGATAATTCTTCACCTTCTTAAAGTATGTAGAGAAATATTCACACCTGCATACACATTTAAAAACCCATATTTATTCTGTCACTAAAGTTTTAATTGGGACATGGGTTTCTCAACTCTCACTTCTTTCTTAGTATATTTCTTTCAGCCTTTGAACATAAGAGTTTGCCAAAGCCATTTCCCCTAATGACATCTGTGAACCCACATTAAGAAAATGGCCCTGTCAGTGTCTAGGTTAATCCATTGATTTGGTCTACAGTGAATCTATAAAAATATCATTCCAGCTATTGTCCTAGAACTTGCAGGTATTTGTATGAAAAGTGTGTCAGCATTTTTTCTTGTCAGAATCATATTCCTTTGAATTGCCGTGTAAGACACACTCTGTCATAGGATATTTGCTTCTCTAGATAGAAGTTGAGTGTTTAGTTCTTCACAGCTGAGAATCAGGATACAATCATGTTTATATACCTCAGCATACTGTTGGGTTTATTTAGATGTGGTGTGTCCTTTGCTGTCTTCCTTAAAATCTGTTATCCAGAGAGATTTGTAAAAGGAACAGGCTTTTTTCTTAGTTTAAATTTGAGGGGATAATTCGGTAACATTTTTCTCCTAAAGAAATGTTAATGTTCATTTTGTGGTTTCGAGTTTGCTTGATGACTTAGTTTTGCCTGTTTCGATATTTCATTTAAAACCACAAGTGTGTTCTCATTCAAAGTCAGTTTTTCTGGGGATTTTCCTTGACTAATGTCTAATGTCTGTAGAATTACTTTGATAAAAATGAACTTTGTCATCTAAAATGTTTCTGGAGGTTAGGACTACTAATAGTCTTTTAAAAGGACACCTATATCTTTAAAGAGAAGAAAAAAATCATCATCAGGTACCTTAATTATGTCATTTCTTCTTGGTATGAAACGAGGCAGTTCATTTTACTTTTCCAAGTTTCAGGAACCACTTTCCTTTCAAAAGTGTTATGAAGTAGTTGGACCGTGCCTGTGGTAAAGGTATCAGAAGACCAACTATTGTTATTGCTTATTTATCTGAACTTAAAGCTTAAAAAAAAAAGTTGAAAAGAACTGTGATGGTCCTTCAGTGCTCTTTATCACAGGAATCGGTGAGGGCTTAAAATATTTGCTCTAGGCAGTTTATACCAAGAATGGAAGTAAATGTTATTCCCATTAGTTATACCTATGCTTTACCCTTAAGCTTATGAATATCCATCTTTATGCTTCCTGTCTCATTTAGGGGACAGTATACTTCTAAAAATAATACCTATAGTTTATGATGAATTTTAGCCAGCCAGCTTTCAGTAAAAGGCAAATACGTTTTACTTGAACCTACTTTAAGTAACACCTTTCTGTAAAGGAAAGGTCTTTCCTGACTGAAGATATCCAGTTGCTGGTCATTTTAATAGGAAGGTTCCCAGAACTAGGTGATCTTTATAGAATCATGTAATCTCATGAAGAGTCTTTCCACCTGAAAATAATAATGCCCCGGACCTATATAGTACAGAGTTTGGAAACAAATTGCAACTCACCTATATATCATACGTCTGTAATAATTCACAGTCACCATCAAGTATTAGAATCATTAGGTTGAATTGCATACTTTTCACTCATTCTGGCCACACATCATGGAGAGTTTAAAAGATTTTACATGTTGTCGCGAATGCAATTGTGTTTTGAATAATGTTAAGTCAGTTTGCGTTGTGCACATTTCATATTAATAACCATACTTTCTAAAGAAGAAATCCATAGTATTTCAAAATCCAGGAGTTCAAACAACAGGAAGTCCTCTTTCCAAGCAAAATCTCTACCGAAATAAAGGAAGTAAGAGTTGTGCATTTCGGGGTTGGCTTGTTGAATCAGCAAAAACATTTGGCTATCTATGCTTCCAAGATTGGAAATCTTTTTCTTTATTGTACTCTCAATTGTGTTTTCTTTAATAAATCTCTTACAGAAGTCTCTACCTCAGGCACTAAGTGTCAGCTATGGTTAGGGTATTGATACTGAAAAACTTAGCTAGGACTTCCAACTTTTTAAGATGACTTAAATGTAAACAACTGTTAACCAGCAATCTCATATCATGTGGCATGCAGTTTGGATATTGTATGAACAGCTAAGGATTACCCATTCTAGTGCCAAAGGTCACTTGTTGCTAATTCTGTTTTGTACAGTTGATGTAAAACTTTATGGCTGGGGACAGACTCTGTGCTCAGGGCCTTGTCTCTAGAAAGATTTCTTTCAGTCCCAAATGTTTTGTCCGTTCCAAATACAGTTTAGAAGATTCACTTGTGGTCTGTGCATCTTTTCCCAAACCTGAAAACTCAGCTGCCAGGAAATGCCATGTTGAGGATATTGCCCCATTCTTTGTGTACAATAGTACTCGAGAGCTTAATGGTTTACACAGAAAACATGATACAAAAGTCTGTTCTACATCCACCTGTAAGTCGATCTCAGTGGGAATGCATGAGCAGGAAGCATTCCCAGTAGAGGTTTGAGCTCAAGAGATGCCTTTTTTCACAGCTGGTTAGCACCCCGCTGGGATTGCTGTGGCCGAAGCGGTCTGTGTGTTTGTGGCATCATGATGAGGGTAGGTGGCCTTGTGTGCGAGGAGGTCCAGGCACAGAAACACGCCCTGTCTCTGGCTCCCTTGGTTTCTCAGGGCCTTTTCTCTGAGAGGAGTGCCTTCGGGGAGAGATGCTCCCCGCAGACATAGACCAGTCTTGGTAAACCTAATGTACCTCCTGAGGAGAGAATGTGGGAGAGGTCGGATTTACTGCAGTAACGTCCTCTGTTCCCCCCGATACAGAATGGCTGGTAGTTTACGCATGGAGCCCACCCTCAGCAGCACAGACTGTAAACTCGTTAGCCGGCCATGTTTGGTAAAACGCACACTTCCGAGCTGCTTGGAAACTTGGAGCAGTTAGTCACTGCTAGTTTTGAAAGTGCATTTTTGGGTCAGATTTATCATCAGAACAGAGACTCATACCTGGAAAAGGTGTTGGCATCAAAGGTAAAACGTGTTTGCTACATAGGATTCAAAACACTATTTCTGAGTTTTAAGGGCTTATGTTAATACACAATACTTTTAGGGTTTGCCTCCTTTAGTTATCTCAGATTGGAAGCGTGTTACATAGGGGCATGAGGAATAGGGACAGGGAGGCGGAGCTGAGAGCAGAGTCCAGGTCTGCACAGTGGTCGCCCAGGGCTCAGTCCAGCATGCTTTGCTCTTTTCCTAGTGCGTGTGCAGAGCAGCTGTCTGGGGCTTCCTCACGGAGGGAGGGTGGTTCTCTGCTGGGTGGACCTTGCTGGGCTACAGCGTTTTTTCCCGAATGTGACTGTTGGACCACCAGTGTAAGAAGTA